CAAATCACCGCTGCGGGCGCGGGATTTCGAAAAACAGCTGGCAATGAGCTCAAGTCGGGTGCACACGTGGCCAATGCCTGCTGGGGCACGTGCGAGCCTTAGCAGAATTCCGGGAGGTTGCACTGGTCTGATCCCGCAAGATTCGCCAACCCAAGACCCTCGGTGACATCCAAGGGGAACCACGAAACACCTCCCACTCACTACTGAACCATTCTACAGGAGCCCCCGGACTCACCTCCTCCACGGCGCTGACCGCCCTTGCGGAGCGCATTGCCCTTACGAGCACGAGGCATTCCTGGAACTAGGAGTCAGGGACACGGTAAGGGGGCGCGGGGTCAGGGACCCGGAGGGCGGGGACTCCAAACCAGCGAAACGCTGGCCGGTGCACCGAGTTGAGATTGGGGAAGACGACAGGAGCCACACGCCGCGCGCGCCACCATCTTCGTGAGGCGCCCCGCCCTGTCAAACGGGTCGCTGGGAAGGTGAGTTCCCCGCCACCCCGTTCAGAGCCACATCCACGCGGCCGAAACTACTATCCCCAGGCATCTGCGAACACAGATTAGGGCGGCCCGAGTTGAGCGCAGTGCACGACGGGAATGGTAGTCCATTCTGGAGGCACACCCGCCGACGCCGCTCCAGCTAAACTATGTACCCACAATGCCCTGCGTACCCCCTTTGCCCCTCCTCCTCCCCTTGTCCCCGCGGCGCCTGGGTTGATAGTTAACTCAGTAGTTTCCCTCCTTGCTGGAAGCTTCGCTAGGCCCTTGTAATGGGGTATCAGGGTTTGACACTTGGTAGAATAGTGAGGACAGACAAACCTCAAGTAACGAAAAAGTGACTTTATGGATGAGAGTACAAATAATAGCCTATCATTTAACAGGTCTTAGCTTATTTATTTATTTATTTTTTTGGCGAGGGCACATACGTGCACGTGTATATGCGCGTGTGTTGGGAAGAGTGTAGGGGTTGCCTCTCTGCCCCTAGCTATGACTTCTCAGTAGCTGCACTAAGGTATAGAAACAAAGCCCTAGGCAGGCTGGCAACCTTAAATGTCTGGAACTGACTCCCTGAGGCTGCTCTATTGCCTTAAGTCAGATGACCTCAGAGAGCTCTGAACCTGGTTTTATGTTTTTAATTAGGCCCTATCTATTCCTTAGGAATTCTGAGGGGAGGTGTGTTTGTGGAAGTGGCCTATTTACTTGGTAAAGTTCTATTAGCTAAACAAAGCATAAAGGCGAATTTCCCTAGCCTGGGAAAGTGGCAGCAGGGACAGAACCAAGGGCAGGAACTCCTGACTTTATGTAGCTTCCTTAGGTTCAGGTTTAGGCTCCTGGCAAGTAGGGCCAGCCCAACCCAAGTAACAGCGGCATCTGAAGGACTTCCAAGCTCCAAGACTGTCATCTGGCTTCAGATGCAGAAAGGCTTCCATTTGTCCCGGGTCTCTCCGGGCACAGCGACCATGGCCATGACATCGTTGGTGACTGCAGGCCATGGCAGCCTTTGTCACATTGATCACATAGGGGCCTAAAGTGCCCACTAGGTAGTCATGGAGACGCCAGCACTCCTCCTAAGGAGAGAAGAGATATGTATACATCATTGCTCCTTCTCTGACTCGGCATGGCTTCTTCTCCCTTAACTTAGGACTCCAGTGTGTACACAAGGGGCCATGCTCACCTCAGAGTTGGAGAAGCTCAGGTCCCCCCAGAGAACCACTCCAGTTGCTCCCAGTGCTGCGCTCACGCCAATAGTCCTCACCAGGTCATCCTGGGGGCAAAGAACTGTTAAGTCAAAGCTGGGCTGGCCAGATTCCCATCAGGGCCCAACTTCATTGAAGGTACCATTTGATTTACTGCTATGATTGATCTGCCTCTAGATAGGGCCCTTTTGACAGAGCTCTAAGTAATTTCCCAGGGCCTCCAGAGAATAACTGTCCTTAGACCAGATACCCAAAGGATGGATTCTATCTAACCCACTGAAATATCCCAGCACACAGCTATGCCTCCTTACAGCAGGCTGGGATCTTTTTGTTTGTTTTTGAGACAGGGTCTCATTATATAGCTCCAGTCCATCATGGAACTCACTCTGTATACCAGCCTGGCCTCGAACTCAGAGATCTGCTTCCTTCTGCCTCCTAAGTGTTGGGATTAAAGGCATGCGTCACCACCGCCCAGCAGGATAGGAACTTTGTAAAACCTCTAGATCATGACCGCCTTCCCAAGTCCTTTAGGCAATGTCTTCTCTTCAGGTCCTTCTAGAACAGAGCTGTGTCTCTGGACTCAGACCCCTAAACCTCAGCTTTTACTTACCAGAGACAAGAATCTCCCGGAGCTCCGGTGTGTGAGGCGAGCGTAGGCCAGAACAGGTAAAGGATGTGTGTGCCCGGCAAGGGCTACACGGAAGGCCTCCTCTAGGCGGTGTCGGACGAAGGCCTGATGGTAGGCAGGTGGCATTTTGGGTGGGAGATAGATGCTAGGGAAGATGGCGCTAGAGGCGGCCCAGAGCCAATGTAGTTGGTTGTTTCGGCTAACGGTGGCTGCATGGCAGTGGCCTGTATAGTTGGAAGCTGTATTATGCCAGCCATTACCACAGACTGGGTATCGATAAAAACCCCAGAGCCCACGTGGGCGAAGTGTCCGGCCCAGCTGCAGTGTGGACTCCATCAGGGCACGGGCAGCCTGCTCAAAGCCAGTATGGGCTTTGTGGAACTGTTCCTGAGGGCCCATCTGGGGGAACATCTGCTGTGCCCAAGCCCAGGAAGCCGCCTGGTAGACTTGGCGATGGGGACCCCAGTTCCCAGCCCAGAGTGGATACCACTCTTCCCAGTCCAGCACTGCCAAGCCAGCAAAGCTAGACCCGAGGCTGTGGAGGATCTGATGGGCAGCTTGTGTCAAGTGGCGGTTTAGTGACATAGCCTGAGGGATACCCCCATTATGGACTGTGCCTCTAGGTCCAAAATAAGGATAAAGACCAAACTGGTTCTTGTAGAAGATGGTGATGTTTTGGCCATGAAAATGCTGGCCATAGTTGGCTACGATGCTGAGGGCACTGAGTGGTAGGTGCACACCAAAGTGGGCCTTACATCTTGCTGAGGGTACATTCCACAGCACAGAAAAGGGATGCTCAGGAACCTGCAGCAAAGACTGGCCATACACCAAGCACAGGGCTACCCCCACCACCAGGGTTAGGCCTAGCTGCATGGTCGTGCCACAAAGATGGAAACCTGCAGGAGAGAGGGGGTATGAGCTTAGAGTCCACAGCCAAGGCCATGCCTTTTGCACAGCAAGGAAAGCTGAAAGCTGGGAAAGCTTCCCAAGTTCCTCCCCTCAAGGGTCAGGGCTGGGGGTTAAACATGGCTCCAAAGTGTTCCATGGGTCTCTCAGAGAGGCCATACCCCAAGCATCCTGTGCTTGTCCATCCCTCCAGTGTTGTTCATCTCTGTTACGGCACCATCATGTTCTCTAAGGACTCCCCAACTCATGGCTGCCACAAGTCCCTGGCTTTCTCCTGCCTGTGTTGTCTTTGCCTCAAGAACACTCAGCGCTTGCCTTCTCGCTTCCCTGACTTAATTCATATTCAGCACTCAGGTCTCTACCATCACCTATCTCCCAGATCCCTTCGGCTCCCAGCATGAGTCCTGCCACACACACAAATTCTTCACTGCCAATGTCCAGTGCCGGGCTTGACACATAGTAAGTACTTGGTAATGAGCAAATGGGAAAGGAAGTTACCCTGGGCCTGGCAGAGGAGGAGCAACAAAGGACAGATATTACCTCATCAATGGCTCTTGGGCCAAGTTAGGGAGAGAGGATCTGGACAGAGGGGTTAACAAATAAATTGTCACAGCCATACCTAATGGAAGCCTTTATTCAGCCACACTAACAGCTTTGAGCCAAAGCTCTTAAGCCACCTCCTGGCCCATTGGTACCCAGGAAACATACACAGGCTAAGGTTGCCCCCAGGGGCTAGGGGGCTAAAGTATGGCCAGTGGGCTGAGGCTGGGACTGTTCTGGGCAATTCAGTGTCCCAGACAGACAGTGCCTAGCCTTCAGATGTCTTTTTCCATCCAGAATATAGGGCACCCCTTCAGATCTCGGTATCGTGTCTCTAGCATGCTTTGAGCGAGGGGCCCTGGTGAAGGAGGGGGTGATGTGGTCAGAGATTGGGGTAAGGAAGGAGGTGGTGGCAATGGGGGTCCCTTGGAGCTCTTTGGGATACCTTGGGCAGCTAGGATAGGCCCCTTGCAGGGTGGCTGAGGGCAGGGTGTCTTAGAGAAGGCACGTAGGAAGGTAGTGGGCAGCCGACGGTTGGTGAAGACCAAACCCTGCACAGGCTCACCCAGGTGGTAGCCCAGATGGGCATAGAAGTATAACTGATCATGGGTAGTGAGGTGAAGCCGGCGGAAGCCCCGGGCTCGGGCAAAAGCCTCCAAGCCCTCCATGAGGCGGCGGCCAAAGCCACGGCCTCTCAGAGCCCGGGCTACCACCACTGTCTCCACTAAGAGGCTGTGGGGATGGTCCAGTACCCGTGATAAGCGGGCATGGCCCACCACAATAGGGGATGCTCCAGGCGTGGGATGAGGGCTCAGCAACATCAGGCAGAGGGGGAAGGCATCTGAGGACTGGCCCAGGGAGTGGAGACGGGAGGCACGGCTGCGGGGCCACTGGTCATTGATGAGGTCAGCACAAGCACTCAGGAGCTCAGGTCGACAGTGCACAGGCTCCAGGGTCAGCTCAGCTGGGTTGAGGGCTGGGGTCTCCTGGTGTGCAGGATCCAGGGTATGGTGTGCAGGATCCAGGGTAAGCTCAGCTGGGCCAGGACTGAGGGTCATCTCTGGGTGGCATGTGGAATCCAGGGTCAGCTCAGCTATCCTAGGACTCAGTGACAGCTCTGGATGGCGTGCAGGATCCAGGGTTAGCTTGGTCAGGTTGACTCTCAGGGTCAATTCTGGCTGGCATGCAGGATCTAGAGTCAGCTTGGCTGGGCTGGTACTCAGGATCAGCTCCATCCGGTCTAAGGTAGGGGTCAGTGTGGCTGGGCCAGGGCTCAGAGTCAGCTCTTGCCTACAGGTAGGATCCAGGCTCAGCTGAGGCAGATAGGAAGCCAAGGTCACTTCCCATTAGGTTTCAGGTGGCTCACTGCCAGGCTGGAGGGTAAGACCACAGTCTCCAGGCAGTGGCATCGCCTCATACACGGATTCACCTCCTGTGGATAACAGCCACGCTAGGCTGTGTCAGGAAGACAGGGTGGAGGCAGGGAAGGACTGAGGGATGGGGGGCAGAATGCATCTGGGAACTGGGGAATGCACTGGAAAGTCCAGGTGTCCAGGAAGAGACCCATCCCTATGAATGAATGAACCCAGGTGTCCTACCCCAACACTGGAGGGAGGCTGAGGGGGGTTATGGTAAATACTGGAAGCTGTGGTAGAACCCAGAAGTTCTGGCTACAAATTTGTTGACCATTACAACAGCTCACTGTGCCAGGCTAACCAACCTTGCCCACTTGTGGGCTATCTCTTGCTTTGGTTTGGGTCGCCCCCACCTCTGTCTCTTTCCAGGGTATGTAGCCTATGCTTGCCTCAAAGTAGCGATCCAACTGCCTTAGTCTCCTAAGTCCTAGGATGGCAAGCATCAGCCGTCACCACCCCGAGCAGCCTGTCTTATCTGTAGTAGTTCATGACTGTAGCTGGCTAGCCTGGCAAAGGGTGAACCAGAGATCTCTCTACTTCGCTATAACCGAGTTTTCTTTTTCAGAAGAAAGATCACTCCCAGCAGTTGCCCTGTCCCTCCTTCTCCCTACATGTCGGCTTTCCACTAGCTCTGAGCTTTTGCAGCTATCGAGCCACACCTGCTATCAAGTGGATGCTGGGACCCACGCACCCACCCAAACAGGCCCAGTCGGCCCCCATCACCACCACCTGCCTTTCTTCCTGGAGAGCAGAGCTGATGGTTCCCCTCTCCGATTCTGTCCAGTTCAGGACACTTTGGGTATAGACCCAACTGTTGCTACATATGGTGTCCTAACAGCATCAGCATGGAGATTGGCCCATTGCACAGAATGTGGTTTTTGCAAGCCTGCTTGCCTCTGGCCTGAGTTTCATAGCTACCCTGATAAGGACTATGGCTTCCTTAAATCTAAGGTGTCCAACGGTCACTAGACTGGGGACCCAGGTCACCAAGTTGGGGACCTAGGCCTAAACCCAATGTCTAATCCTCATTGTTTGCCTACCTTATTTTAGGTTCTTCTGGAAGAAGGGGCTATGTTGGGGGATTTCTTGGGAGTGCATGAACAGTTAACTCCCTCTCTCTCATCTGCTCCCACTTAAAGTGCCTCCTGACTCCCCTTCCCAACTTTCCCTAAGCATTTGGGCAGGCAGTTCTCACCCCTCACACAAATCCCATACCTGGGCTTTAAGCCCCTTACCTGCCTCAGTCAGCTCAGTCGGAGCAGCGTTCCCTCCCAGCTCCTAAGCAAGGACTGGAAGGAGGAACCTCAGGGTCCGCCCCTACCCAGAGCCCCAGGGTTCCCCAGACCGGCTTAACCCCTTCATTGCGGGCCCCACCACTGTAGGTAGAGCAAAGCTCCCGGTATTCAGAGAGGGTGTGCACCTGTCCCTTGTGGGACACAGGCATGGATCTTTTGGGAGAGGGGGTTTTGAAAGTTTGATTATGGGTGGGTGTGGCTCAGCATGCGGGGGGGGGGGAGGGCCAGCGCTGGTAAGACTTGAGGGGCGACACGGCCACTTGGGGGGCCACAGGCGCGGGGAGGATAGATGAGTAACGTGTGAGATGTGAGGGTGATACTGACATGTTAAAGCCGAGCTCCGGGATGGTCCGCTTCCAGCCTGCGCACGATTCTGTATCTCGCGGTCTCTGGCTCCGATTCCTCGGTTTGCCTACGCTGGTCCCAGCCGTACGGAGGACTCACAGCAGTCTTCCCCGGAGACGGCGTACCTCCTCCTAAGTCCTCCGTGCCCGGAATGTCACCACCTAGACACCCCGCCCCTGGTTCTGAGCGTCACAACAGAACTAGTGCAGGCCCATTCGGTCCCCAGGTTTCTTCCCTTCCGGCGGTGGCCAGGCCTAAAACTTCCTCCCGATGGCTCCGCCTTCTCTTGGCCCGGCCACTGCAGGCCCTGCCTCTGACTTCTAGCTGCTTGCTTGTGTTTGGCTCCGCCTGCACCTCTCCCCGCTCCGCCCTGGGCTCATAGTAATGGAGTTTCTTTTTTTTTTTTTTTTTTTTTTTTTTTGGTTTTTCGAGACAGGGTTTCTCTGTGGCTTTGGAGCCTGTCCTGGAACTAGCTCTGTAGACCAGGCTGGTCTCGAACTCACAGAGATCCGCCTACCTCTGCCTCCCGAGTGCTGGGATTAAAGGCGTGCGCCACCATCGCCCGGCTAGTAATGGAGTTTCGTTTTGTCTCCTCTTTGATAGTGTCTAGCAGATCTAGTGCATTAGAGGACTTTTTCCTGATCATGGAAAGCAGTGGTCTTTAGACAACACACTTGGGTGAAAGTAACGAGCCTTCCCAGTGCTTTCTGGTCTGAGACTTGCCTATTTTAGGAGCTAACTAAACAGCTAGGTAAAATACGACAGCTTCCTTGGCTGGGTTGAGCAGTGCTAGTATCTCTCTGGAGATACAGAGATCCTGTAGAGTGGTGTTATTGTGTTTTCCCAGCTCATTTAGGGCACCACCAACACACAGTAGGTGTGCAAGTTTCTGTCTTTGGAGCCAGATAACCTAGATTTCAATATACATCTTGGTTTTGTTTTGTTTTGTGTTTTTCTTTTTCAAGACAGGATTTATCTGTAGCTTTGGAGACTGCCCTGGAACTCACTCTGTAGACCAGGCTGACCTCAAACTCACAGAGATCCGCCTGCCTCTGCCTCCCTAGTGCTGGGATTACAGGTGTGCGCCATCATGCCTAGCCTTGCTTGTCTCTTCTTGCTGGGCAACACTAGACAAAAAGTACTCCCCCTCAGTGGCTAGGAATATAGCCTAGTGGTAGAGCACACACTTAGTATGTGTGAGGTCCTATCTTCAATTTCCAGCACAGCAAAAAATAAGTGAAAAGTATTCACCCCTCCTGCATGTCTTGAATTGTGAAGACTTCTAGTGCTTACTTAGCACGGGTCTTGGCACAGAGCAGACATATGGCAAATGTCAGCTTTTGTGACTGCTGACTCATAGATTCTGAAGGACTTGCCTATGATTCTGCCAAGTAGGTCCTTATAGTGCCTGCCCTTAATTCTGAGTCACTATGTGACTACCCCCATGAGTGTGCCTGTGTGCATATGACTGTGACTGTATGCATGTGACTGTATTTGAGGAAGTCACAGGTAGGCCCAGGGTATGTTAGGTGTTCAGCATGTGCGAGCAGGTCCAGCTAATCAGTACATACCCCGCTTCTCACACCACTTTCCACGCCATCCACGGTAGCAGCGACACTTGAATTTCATAGCCATTTCTGTCCGATCGTTAAGTGTGAGGGTACCATTGAGGCTTGGGGGCCTGCCATCACTTGTTAGCTGAATGGAAAAACTGGCCGGATTGAGGGTGAGCAGAGCCTCGGGATAACTGGGACGGCGGGCACAGCGACCATGGCCAGAACACAGAGCTTCACTGCAGAGAAGAGCTGCACTGGTCACGTTCATGATGAAAGGGCCAAGTGTGGAATCCATATACTCTTTAATGACCTGGCATGATTCCTGAGTGGGAAGCAGAGTGTAAGTGACCGCAGCCTGTCTGGGCCCACTCAGTCTTTACCTCTTACAGGTAAGTGATACTTACCTTCACTCAGTCAGGACTTCCTGGGTACAAAGAGTAGGCCAAGTCTCCCCTCATCCCTACCCCTCCTCGCAGACCTCGACTTACCTTGGTAGATGTATTTTTTGAGCTCACCCAGACCACCACACCTGCTGCTCCCTGAGCTGCGCTCTCCCCAATGCTCTGTTCCAGCTCCTCCTGGGAAGGAGATTGCATAGTTCTATGGGACCTACCGTCCTTCCTGCCTGTGGGAACTGCTGCAACATCACTGGATGGGACAAATAATATGTAGCCTTCAGCCGGGCGATGGTGGCGCACGCCTTTAATCCCAGCACTCGGGAGGCAGAGGTAGGCGGATCTCTGTGAGTTCGAGACCAGCCTGGTCTAGAGAGCTAGTTCCAGGACAGGCTCCAAAGCCACAGAGAAACCCTGTCTCGAAAAACAAAACAAAACAAAACAAAAAAAAATATGTAGCCTTCACTTGAGGCTGCTCTAGTGCTGATAGCTGGGAGCAAGCCTGTTCTCTGTCTAGCCTGTAAATAGACAGGAACTAATTTTTCTATTAAATTATGAATCACCGGGGCTGGAGAGATGGCTCAGCGGTTAAGAGCACTGTCTGCTCTTCCAAAGGTCCTGAGTTCAATTCCCAGCAACCACATGGTGGCTCACAGCGATCTGTAATGAGATCTGGTGCCCTCTTCTGGCCTGCATACATGCAGACAGAATACTGAGAATACTGTACACATAATAAATAAAAAAAAATTCTTTAAAAAAATTTATGAATCACCCATGCTCCACACAGAAGTTGGCACCAAGTAGATGTTCTATGTATGTGGGAATGATTGGGCAAAATACTAGGGTATAAGTCAGTGGGAAAGAATTTGTACAAGACCTTGAATTTGATTTACATGACGCCCCCCCCCCAAAAAAAGACAGAAGTACCCTGAAGCTATGTGGACTCAGCTGTTGGACCTATTGCTGACAGTGACAGGAAGGCTGACAGTGAAGACGAGGTGACACAGGACTCACCAGGGACAGAAGATGATCTGTCATTTCATAGAAGATCTGCACGTAGGGCAGTATGGGCACATTCGGGTCTCTGGAAGTGCTAGCTACACGGAATGCCTCTTGTACACGGTGTTGAACATACAACCGTGCCTTCCCTGTGCCCATCAGTGCTGGAGGCAAGTAGATACTGGGATAGAGGGCATAGCTCTGGTTCCATAACCACTCTAGCTGATCATTCTGGTCACGGATGTTTAGTGAGCACTGGCCTGTGTAATTGGAACTTAGGAAGTCATAGTTGTAGCAGTCAGGGAAGCCATAGTAGCCCCAGAGGCCACGAGGACGCAGTACCTGCCCCAGCTGGAGGGTGCCTGCCATCCAGGCCTGTGCAGCTTCCTGGAACTGGTCCTGAGCTACTGACTCCACTAAAGTTTCCGGCCAGTCAGGGTGTTCTGCCTGGACAAGTGCCATTGAGCGCTGTCGATAAATGTCCTTGCTGTCCCAGTTGAAGGCCCATCGTGGGCGCCATGCCTCCCAGTCAATGACTGCCAGTCCTGAGAAGTCAGGTTCAGGCATGACAGCCTTGATGTCCTGGAATGCGTGAGCGAGGTGGGTAACCAGGCTAGCATTCTGGGGCAGGCCACCATATACGGCTTCCCCAGTAGATGTATAGAAGGGGTAGGTGCCCAACTGCCAGCTGTAGAAAATTGTCATGTTAAGGCCTTGAAAGCTCTGCTCCTTGTTGGCAATCACGTCAAACACACTGACATCCACATCCACTCCATGACTCTCCAGGCACCAGTAAGTGTCTGCATTCCAAACAGTGATGAACGGCTTGTTGGGTACCATGGAACCTCTGGAGCCTTGGGCCAAGCTGAGCAAGGTCAGGAAGAGGGTACAGACGTAAAGCAGGTGGGCTGCAGTGGCACGGGGTGGGTCTGGGGAGACCTGGCCAAGGGAGGCAGAGTTCAAGGCATATGTCAAACTTTATAAACCCTGCTTGAAGTAGTTGGGCCCAGCCCCTTCCTCAGAAGGTTGTCCCTGCTGTGATTTTAGTTGACCATTAATCTGTAGGGCCCAGCGAGGTCAGAGAGCTGAGTAGGGGCCTGGAGAGGAGCATTGCCATGAAAGGTACAAGTGAGTCCCCTCTGTGGCCAGGACTCTGCCATCTGCTTCCCCCAAGCTTTGCCTTGGTCTCATCTTACCCACCCTTTCCCCAAGGACCAGAGGAAGTGTCACATCTGTTCTGAAAGAGGAGCTGAGCCCTCAGTTCAGGCCGATCTGATGAATAAGGGAGGCCATTCCGTTTCTCCCACCAGAAATCCTGGCAACCGTTGGGAAAAGGGATGCTCAAGTGACCAAGAAGAACCCAACCCTGGAAACCCAACCCTGGAAACCCGCCAGCTGCCCACTTGTCCCTGCTGACCTCAGGACTGAAGGGTTTCATTCTCCAAACTTCCTGACCATGCTGTGTAAGCACAAGCATGGTTTGGTTCAGTTCTGGCCTTAGTTGCAGCAACTTCAAGAAGCTGCTGCTTGTGGCTGCTGCAGCTTCGGGGAAATTCTGAGCTTTTGTAGACAGTCGCACCACCCAGTTTATGGGCTGGCGGCTGGTGTTGGCACGGGGTGGGACTGGGGCTGGTCTAACAACAGCCCCTCCCACTCAGACAGCACTTGAGGAGGCTGTGTCCTTACTGGGCCTGGAGGCAGAGTAGCCAACCAGGTCCAGCAATGTGTGGTCCTGCAGTGTGGTCGCTGAGGACTGCGTGCTTATAGAGGGAGTCCTTTCTCCACAGCACCGTGATATTTCAGCCTCTGGGCACTTTTGCCTTTGTGGGTCCCCTCCTCATTAAAACAAGTTTCTCTCTCTGTGTGTCTCTATCTGCCTGTCTGTCTGTCTCTGTCTCTGTTTCTCTCTGTGTCTGTCTCTCTCTGCAGTGCTGGGAACAGGACCCAGGGCTTCATGCTTGCTAACCAAATGCTCCATCACTAAGCTATATCCCTAGCCCTTCAAAAAGACATTTTTAAAGTATAAGAAGCCCTGGTGAGATAGCTCGCCAGTAAAAGCACCTGCAGCCAAGCTTGATGACCTGAGTTCAATACCTGGGACACACTTGGTAGAACTAACTGGTTAAGTGTGTGGTCCCTGAGGACTATATGCTTATAGGGTACTTTCTTCACACCACTGTGACAAGTGGTGTTTTCTGACTGCCACCAAGCATCATGGCATGCACATGCCCACATATAAGTACAAATAAATGTAAAATGCTAATAATGGAGAGCAATAGAGAAATACACTTTATTTTTGGCCTTTACACCACACATATGCATACTTATAACACACACACGCATGTATACAAGTCAAACAAAATTTTTTTGTGGGTTCCTAGAAGTATGGAGGCTCTTAAGCCCTGCCTAACTGCCTAATAGGTAACCTGTCCCTGGTTCTGGGAGGTTCTGTTTGTGAAGTTGAGGTGTGTCATCACTCTTTGTATAGTCTGGTTAGTGACAGTCTTTGTGAATTGCTAACTGAGCCACTGCCCAAATCCCCAGGGGTTTATACATACAAGTGTGGGATCTCAGTGCCTAGGACCATGTGCTAGCAAGGTTGCTATTTTGCAATCACGAGACCCTGTATTTGCATGACCATGGAAATGAGCAGGGGTCATGAATAAGTACTGTGTGTTCATGCGTTTGTTGTTTTACTAGCTCTGTGAATCATGAGCTGGTTACTGAGATCTGCTAGGTGCTCAGGTCCAGGCTTGCCTGCAAGGGCTGGGAAAGTAAGGAGAGGACATGGCCCTGCCCAGGTGGAATGCTGTCTGGGCCTGCAGCTGTGTCTGTTCCTGAACCACTGAAGCTCATACTTGGTGGCCACTGAACACTGGTGCTCACAGTAGGGCTACCATATGGGCTTGGTTTCACTGCCTGTGCATGCCTAGGGTCTTTGAGCAGCCCCACATTGCTACCCTGACCCTTCCTCTACCCCTTAGGGCGTTCTGGTTATCTTTGGTGTGGCGTGACTTTTTCTTAAGCAAGTGTAAAGGACTTCTATTCATCTCAGATAAAGTACTAATGACAGACCAAAAGACTATTCTGTCCAAGTCTGACTGGTGAATCAAAGAGTTTTTCAAAGAGTTTTTTTGTTGTTGTTTTGTTACATTACAGGAAGAACATGAGGGGCTACTTATAGAAGCCACATGACTCAAAGGCAGCTGTATCACCAAAAGGCCCACCCTAGCATGGGGAACAATACACAAAAGCTGTTTTCCTTGGAACAGCTTGCCAACTTTTAGGTAGCTCCTCTCTCTAGCAACTATTTACTGCTTTTTAGTTTTGGAGAGGGGGATTCATGAGTCTTGTAGCTTTTATATATATATATATATATATATATATATATATATATATATATATATATTCAGTTCTCAGTACTCAACCCTGTGTGTTGTTGGAAATCACAGGTGTGGAGGAGACGGAAGTTTCCCTAGTCTTTGCTCTCCTTTGTTGAACTCCATTATTTTTGGTCTTTTTTTTTTCGGATTTTAAAATTAAGTCTAGTGTGGTGGCACGTGCCTGTAATCCCAGTGCATGGGGGGCAGAAACAGGTAGATTTCTGTGAGTTCAAGACCAGCCTCATCTACATACTGAGTGCTAAGCTAAGTAGGGCTGCATAGTGAGACTCTTGTCTCACAACTTTTTTAAAGTTACGTTTATTTATGTATTTGTATATGTGCCACAAGGTCATACAGAGGTCAGAGGACAATTCCAGGGATCTGATCATCAGGCTTGATAGCAAGTGCCTTTTACCCAGAGCCCTATTTCTCATTTATTTATTTGTTCATTTATTTTCCCCAAGGCAGGGTTTCTCTGTGTAGCCCTGGCTGTCCTGAAACTCACTCTGTAGACCAGGCTGGCCTGGAGCTCACAGAGATCCACCTGCCTCTACCTCCCAAGTGCTGGGATTAAAGGTGTACAACACCATCAGCAGGCTCCTCTTTTGTTTGAAGATATGTAACTGGCCTATATGAGCCATATACTCATATGTGAGCTATACCCATAGAGCTTAGGCTGGCCTCCAAGCCAGGACTGGGCTTGAACTTCCGATCTTCCTGCCTTTATCTCCCAAGTTACAGGGATTACAATAGGCATGCATCGTCACCTGGTTCCTCCACATCCCTTTCAAATCTCAACATGGTTGTCGGCTGTCCTTACTCACTTTCTGGTTCTGGTGCGTGAACTTGGGCCTTAGTGCAAGCTAACCGTAGGAGCACTTGTAGGGCCACTAAGTTTCTTGAGGACAGGGCTGAGGGGGTCATCACTGACACTCTAGTAGGCCTGAGGGAAGGACAATGGAGGTAACACCGGTCAGAGTTGTCCCAACTACCCCGGCTCTGCTACTTCTCTCCTCTGGATCTCCTATTAGGCAGTTTGTTCGATGCATGGGAGAGGGCTTTTGTGTATTTATAAACACACACACACACACACACACACACACACACACACACACAGTGCTGGTGATCAATCCCAGGACCTTCACATATCTAGGTGAGTCTCTATCACTGACCTTATATATATATTCATATCCTGGCTCCAAAGCTGACCTTTGAGGATGACCCTGCTCCGCGGATCAGGGTAGTTCCATCAGGTATCCACGTAGTGACAGGGATTGACATCTCAACCCTGACAGCCTACCTCCCAGACCCAAGAGAAGGCTGTGACTCAGACGGTGAGAAGGGTCATGTGACAGGAGTCCCCTGCCCTTGTCTGTAGGAACATCCGGGAAGATCAGGCACCACCTCCCCTTTCTCCATGGGTGGCTGAGGGAAGAAAGCTGGTGTTGGCCCAGCCTGGGCTACTGGGACAGGTGGCAGATACACAGCCAGCTCTATCAGTCACACAATGGTGGGCACAACTCATTCCAGTCAAGGCAAAGTGGAAGTGAGGTTAGGGTAGAGCAGGAACCCTACTCTGGTGGGTCCTGCCCCCCACAACTGCTGAGCAGGCACCGCCCTAGGCCCCAGTGACCACACAGCTGAGGGGTTCAAAGAGCTCAGCTAAACCTCATCCACAACCCTGAGATCTCTTGCACATACTAGCCCAGAAGCAGGAAAACCAGGCACAGTTGTTTTATATTTAATTTACAAAAGAGACCCCAGAACTATAAACTATCCAGGAGCAGGGAAGTAGAGTCAGGCCTTCCCTGGTTTAGCTATAGCCTCCTTCTTCACTGCCAAGATGAGGGGCTTCTTGGGGGATTTTTTTTCTCTCCCCCTTAGAACAGGGGGGTGACAGCTGCTATGGATGCCTGCTAGGCATCACGGGGGCTCTGCCCATGCCAAATTCATTTGTCTACCCCCAACAGACTCCTCATGCCCAGATCCTTGTGCCAGAGGCCAGCTGGAGTGATATCCCCGGGGGAGACCCCTTTTTAAGGTTCAGGTAAGGGCCATGGCTACCAAAGCCAGCAGAGCGATGAGGTGGGACCCAGCCCAGGCTCTCCTGGCACTTCCTGTTTCCCGCTTATGGTCTCTTTGGCATTGCTCGCCACCCCAGCCCAAGTAGCACTGGCAACGAAAGTGCGTCTGCAGGTAGTTGAGGTCGGCATCGCTGAGCTTCCCCTCGGGTCGAAGCTGGGGTTCATTAGGTGTACGGCCAGGCACCAGCCGGAAGCTGCTGGCACTGAGGTGCAGGAAGGTATTGGCGCTGGGATTGCGGCGCACGCAGCGTCCATGGCCATGGCATTGGGTCCAACTGCAGTACTGGGTGGCCCAGGACACATTGACTACGTAGGGAACCAGCCACTGTGTTAGGTAATTCTTGAGGTACTGGCAGGTCTCCTGGAGGAAGAGACCAAGGTTAGCAGGTGAGCATCCGATGGTAGCTGCCTCAGCCCAAAGCCCTGATGGGAAACTGTCTACACCTCTTTCTTTCGGCAGCGGTGGAGTTGGAATCCTAGCCCAGGCAAGTGTTCTCTGAAGCTCATCCTGGGCACACTTACTTGTGTACATATGTACATATCATATATTCAGTTCCCGAGCCTTTACGGTCCTGTCCCTAGTGAGAAGTGGGGGGTGGAGACAGACTGGAACCCAGCTGTGCGGATGAGGAAGGGTGGAACTCCAGCTGTTCGGGACAGCATTTCCTCTTCCTGGGAACAGGGTGGGGGTGCCCTTCTTCTCTGTTGGGTTCAGGGACAAAGCCTCCATGCTTAGGAGGCAGCCAAGCTAGACTCAGTTCATATACCCAGGTGAGGGTGGAAGCCAAAGTATAAATTCCCCAACAGGTTTGGCTGGCTGGGGAGGTCTCCCTTACCATACTTGAAGCATACACTGAGTCGCCCCAGAAAATGACACCAGCTGAGCCCAGGGCTGCACTCTCACCGATGGTAGAGATGAGGTCCATCTGTGTGGGAATGGATGATTACTGAGGAAAACTGACAGCAGACAGGAGAGGAGGGACACACCTGTTCTAACCTGCTGACCATAGCGCAAGCCCTCCCCGTATACCTCCAGGCGGGGCTGTTCGGCTTTCTGGGTTTAAGTCCACGTCCAAGCCTACCTGGGACCTTCGTCTCCAAAGCCGAGGGCACACATTCTGACTCCTAAGTTAGGGCGACCGGCTTTAATTCTGTGCACTTTTCATGGACTTCCCAGAGGCTCTAGGCTAATTCTCAGCTCTGGGCCTCAGTCTTATTTACAGAATGAGGAAGACGTTGGCCTTCCACAAGATTAAAAGAAATGTGGATCACACAGTAAACTCTAGTACTTTTGGTCCCCGATAAACCCAAGCATGCAGTGGTTCCTGGAGGAAGAAGGCAAGGCCCTGGAACACATACCTGACTCAGTCCTGTGAGTCCTCGGGTGTATGTGGGGCGTGTGAAGACGTACACTGGGAGGGCATGGTTTGCGTGGTGGGTGTGAGCCACACGAAGGGCCTCCTGAACACGGAAACTCACAAAGTTGCGGCTGTGTGTGGAGGAAGCCAGTGTCTCATCCAGGTACACAGAGGGAAAGAGAGCGGTGCTCTCCGCCCAGAGCCAGGCCAGCTGGTCATTACGTGCCACTTCCACATCAGGACAGCGGCCTGTGTAGCTCTCCCAGTTCTGGACATAATCATGATTATAGCAGTCAGGAAAGAGGTAGAAGCCCCAAAGGTGCTGAGGTCGGACTGCCTTGACATAGCGTAGTGTATTCAACATGAACTGCCGAGCAGCAAACTCAAACTCATACTGCGCCTGCTTTACTATTCGGTCTGGCGGCCAGTCAGGGTGTCGACTGGCCACCAGCTGGCGTGAAGACTGCCGGTACACATCCTTCTCCTGCCAGTTTCGCACCCATACAGGCCTCCATTCCTCCCAGTCAATGACTGCCAGCCCTCCAGGCTCCTGGGTGTGAATGTAGCGCTCCACAGATTCCTTCAGCATGGGCAGGTGTGCGCAGAGGCTACCGTTCTGAGGCACACCACCGTGCACAGACATCCCAGCTGCATCGAAGCGTGGATACAGGCCTAGACGGTCGTAGTAGAAGGTGGTGATGTTCTGGTTGACAAACCCCTCATTCGGTGAGGCCTCCACATCGAAGGCCCTGAGGTCCAGGGGCACTTTGTGGCGCGGGGCACATTCTTGTGTGGGCACATTCCATGCGACCACAAAGGGTCGGCCAGTGAAGATGGGTGGCACTGTGGGCTTAAGTTCCACGGCCCATGTTACCTCCAGCACCAGGGCCAGTGTGATGATGGGACCCAGTCCTGCCCGCATGCTGGGGGCTACAGGAAGTGTCACCTGCCTGGTAGCAGCTCAGGAACTGAAGGAAGTGTGGGAGAGAACAAATCAGTCTAGACAGTTCCAGAGGCGTGCACCTTAATCCCATCTACACTCCCCAAACCCACACTGTGCTCCCCACTGTGTCTGCCAAGGCCGTAAGAAGTTTGAGAGATGGATTCTGAAGGGCAGGCAAGAGACCTAGGGACTCTACCAAACCACAGAATTTTCTGGAGCTGCCTGTGGCTGGGCAAGAATCTCCTTTAGGTTTGTGTCCCTTCTGGAAAAGGGACGAATTAGGCTCCAGATTCACGGCCAGAGTCACTTACATGCCTATATACCATACAACACACGGTTTTAGAACACCCTGAACACAAGCTCCACCCTAGAGGCCCCCCAAGCCCCCGCTAAGAACTCTTGACTTAGAGAAGGGATAGCATTTGGACACAATGCACACAGAAGCTGGGAAGCTGTTATGAACACGGCAGAGGAACTGGTATCTGTACAACATGCTCCAAAGCAGAAGAGTGAGGCTGTCAGGATTTGGTCCCGGGCACCGACACTGTCTTTGGCTTGGAGTAGGCGTCCGGGGACAAAGGGACAGCGGAGTACGCACGGCGGTGCTCGCCGACCTGCCCTTCCCACCACAGCCACCGAAAATCTGTGCGAGTCCTCGCGACCGGCCTACACCCTCACCTCCTAGCACAAGAGATCCCGAGTGGAGGGTATTCCTCCCGGTCTTTGTGCGGGACCCCGCCCCCGCCCCGCACGTGGGGGCCAGAGTTCACCCGGGTGGGGGTGGGGTCCCTGGGTCATTTTGAAGGCGCCCCTAGAGACTCAGAGCCCAGCTCATAGGGAGAGAGTCACCAAGCTTGCAACGCCCGCCCTCACCTCGCACCAGGCGCCACCAGGACCCACGCCAGGGCCGCCGCCATCCTGGTACCAGCCAAGCCCGCTCCGGCCCTCCGCCCAAGCACTGCCCCAGCTCGAGCCTCTGCTGGCTCCGCCCCGAGGCCAGCGCGCCCTTTAAGAATCTAGCCTCGGAGGTGGACCTATGGCAGGATTTGCGGCCTCGCGGGGAGGGTGCGTTCGCCTTCCTTTCTTTCAGTACTGCGTTTCGAGTTCGAGGACCCTCAAAGGAACATAGTCATCTCTCTGTGATCTAATACTTCTTGAAATCGGGATTTCCGCTAGGGTCTCAGCCGCGAGAGTCATCCAGCCTGAGATAGTACCCCCACAGTCTGTCGCCAGTGGAACAGTCCACTCTTTCCAGCCGTCCTCTTAAAGGGGTAGAATACTACATGGGGCGGGCGGGCGCGCGCAGAGGTGGTGGTATGTGGAATAAAGGCTTACGGCCGAGGCCTTGACTGGGGGTAGCTGCGGGTTCAGTCCCACATGCCTGACTTTGGACTCTAGCAGTGTGGGCCCTTTGTGTAATATAAGAGATTTTGACCCGAGTGAATCCGGAGCCGCCAGGGACATTAACGACCCGCCTTCTCGGATCCCAAGACTCCCTCCACTAGCTTGCGGTCAGAGGGAAGCCCCGCCCCTTGCCTGTCTAGAGGAGGGGGCCTAGGACGGCCTCTGAGCCCTCCCCTGGCAAAGCCGACGCAGCGGTTGTCCTGGTGACCAGGGGGTAGGTCGTCGCGTTTCTAGAGGGGCTGAAGTTCAGCCTGGCCCAAAAGGAAAAGTGGTCTACCCGCTTTCTCCGGATCCACACCAGGGTAGGCCAATCACTGGATTCTCTCCGGTCCAGTCTCTGCGACGTGGTAGAGGTGGGATGGGGACTCCCAGTCAAGCACGAATAAAGTGCAAGTCGCAGAAGTTTCGGGTCGGAATTATGGAAAGTAGGCTGCAGTGGCTCCCTAGTGCCTCTAGTCCACATTTTGAACCCTTCTGCCTTGCAATTCCCTTCTGGTAGGGAGTAGGCTTAGAGCTGTTCCCTCGCCTCTTAGATCTGCTCTCCAAAGCACGACTCAACTTCCCGAAGCCGCCAGCCCCTTTCCCGCCCGCACGCCTGAAAGCTAGGGAGCGCCCTAGCGGGTAGCGCACCTAAGCGGGTAGCGCCCGACCAGCTTAAAAGTCGTCTCTGGGCTCACCTGTGCGGGAGTCTGTCCGCCCAGTAGGTTGGCGGCCTCCCTTCTTCCTGAGGTGGGCTTCTCCAGCCAGGCTACTAGCACCAGCTGCTGCCCTGTGGGCAGCCTGCTGGAGATTTGATAAACCCCATTCCCTCCCACCCACTCCCACCCCTGCCCTTTCTCCTCACTTCCTGCTGCCCCTCTGGGCGGAAAGGGACAGGAACAGGGGCTGGGAGGAGAGCCCCCTGACCCTGCTTCCCTTGCTGGCTGGCAGCCCTTGGCACCCTTCCTCTGAGTAGGATCTGGGCCCACGAGTTGTGCCAGGTGACAGGAAGGATATAGGCCTAGGGTCAGGCGCTCATCTCCTTGAGGTTTCAATCATCCTCAAATCAAATCCAGTAGTGGGGGGAGGCGAGTGATGGTATTCATGGGAGTCACACTATTTTGCTTGATTGTTTAGCTAATGGCCCTCTAGAGCAGGTGCCAAAGAAGGAAACTATCTCGTGTGAGGGGAAGACGGGTGGGGTGGGGTGGGGGCTTCCAGTAGCTGAGTCAATTTTTTTTTTCCACTGACAGCGGAAGTATCTGAAGTATGACAAAGGAGACAATGTGACAATGTGTTAATGCCTGTGTCTGTGTGATATGGGAGTGGGGGGTGGGCAGGGGCTAGGAGGGTGTGCGGAACATGGGACTTCTCACACATGAATGTGTGAAGATGTGTGTCCCTGTGGGAGAGAGAGCGCACAGGAGGGACTCTTGAAGACCAGCAGGGTCCCTTCTGACCTCTCTGGAGATGCAGGCAGACTTGCCTGCTCTCAAATCACCTGAACCACACACCCCTCAGAACCCAAGTGGCGCACCTCCCCAATGCTAGGAAGTCCGCGTGCTAATAAAAAGTTGTATGGGGGCTGAGTGTCCAGCCCAGGCTTTGGTCCTACACATTAGTGGTGCATCCATGAACCCCTGTGTTGGCTTCACAAGGGACCAAAGCTTCTAGGAAGCTCCAAGGGTGGGACTCCTGGGAAAACAAAGACCAGGCCAGACTGCCCAGGGCAGGGACACTTCCTTAGGCAGCCAGCAGGAAGGAAGTGAGCACAGCCCAGCAGGATGGAGTGGGGAAACATTGCCCTGATGCATCTATTGTTTATAGCTTTGGGGTCAGCGAAGCAGGTCCAGAACAGGGAGTTCCCCCAGGCAGGATGGTGGCGGTGGGAGATAGGATACTGTCTGATATGGGGAGCCCTGGCCTCTGAACAGGAGGCGTCCTATAGGGGATGGAAGTCATTCTACAGAACTGGAAGTCTAGGCTACACAGGGTGATCCTACTCAAGACTTGACAAGTTCCAGCCCCCCGAGCAACTTGAAGACCACTGCCCTGACTCTGGGTTGATGAATTCCTCCTTCCTAAAGTTCTTGAGCTTAATGGCCACAGGCCAGGCCTAGCAGAGAGGCAGATTGTCCCCTGGCAGCAGAGAGCTGACCATGCACTAGGGACAGAGCCTAGCGAGAGAAGCTGCAACAGAGCTGAGCTCATCCCTCCAGTTGTTACCTGGGAAGAGTCAGGTATGTGTGGACTCCAGAGCCTGGTAGGAGGCCAAGGGCATGGTGGGAAACTTTGAGGGCCATGGGGCTTAACCTGTAACCTCACTTGAGATAATATATTACTGCTGGGACCAGAACTATGCCACAGCTATGTATGGTCACACTCACCCCTTAGGCAAGGCAGCTAGGCAAATCTGAAGAGTTTCAAGACCTATTCCCCCCCCCCCCCCCAGTCCCAAACAAGGTGAGGCAGGTGAGCAGCTCCCAGGGCTGGAGATGGTGTGTGAACACAGCCACCTGTTGGCCAGGGATGGTATTGCTAGAGGCAATGTTCAGACTTACTGGCTCTTAGAGGGGGCTTGCCAGCCTGGCAGAGTCCAGGGCCAGAGGCCTACCTGATCAGCTCAAGTGGTAGTCTAGAAATCGGGTCTTAAAGCCTCACTGGAAGCCACGCTCATGTGCAGGGTCTACAAATAATTTTATTGAAATTGAACAAATAACACAACAGTCTTCCTATGCTGGGGACCACCCTCCCCAAGCCATTTCCCATACTATAGACGCCCAGAGCTTCTACAATGATTTTTTTTTAAAAGCCATCTCTATATAATAATCAAACTCTGCCCCAACATCATCATAGTCTATTTACAAACCTTCACATTTGAATTACTTCTTTTATGTGTTTTTCCCTTCTTTTGATCCTTACCAAGGAGCTCCAGTATTTTCCCTTAACTGACCCTGAAGTAGTGAAGATACTATAGGAGAAGGGGTGATGGGCTCCTCATAGCTACTGGCTGCTTCTTACCACTGGGTGGTGAACAGCCCCTCCCCGACAGTTGGGGATGGGTGGGACTGCTGGCGCAAAGACAAGGGAGATTAGACAGAATACGTGGTTCGGGGCAAGTCCCCACAGGCACAGGCATCCGTAGCCTGTCCTGACCCCGGCCTGCACCCTTTCAACTTGGGGGAGGGCACCTGGGAGGAATCAAGAGAGATCAGTCCAGCCCTGGGTGAAAGGAGCCTCCCACACTAGTCCCCATTCTTACTTAACGGCCAGCAAACAGTCCATCTTAGAGCGGGAACGAGTGGCAGGGAGGCAGGAAGAACGAGGCTAGCACTATCCCCAGTCTCTGTCCGACACAGGAGGAATCGAGGTAGCAAACGGCTGAATGCTCTGACTAAGGGAAGGGAAGTGAGGGGAAGGTCGCTCCCACGCGGGTCCAGCCCCCACAGCCCAGGGGCCGGACACGGGTCCAGCCCCCACAGCCCAGGGGCCGGAAGAAGGCAGACTCTGCTTATAAAGTGCTGGGCCCTAGGCAAGCTTGGAAGAAAGCAGGTCAGGCAAGGAACTAGGAACCAGGCATTCCTGACCAGCATGTGTCCTGCCATGCTTCTTGAAGAAGCGGCTGGGGAAGATGGGCTGGTAATTCTGCCATTGGCCCCCACCAGCCACCAACCACTTACTGTTCAGACATAAACCAATACCAGTTAACACTGAGGGACTGCCCCTTAACAACTGAAGGTTCTGGGCCAATGGAGTTGAGTTTATTCAGGGTTGTGGCACCAGCCTGGACTCCTGGGGCAGTGGGTGCTTGTGTCTGCCATGCCACAGGCTCACACTTCATAGAGGATCACGGGGAAATCCACGTGGATTCGGGGGGGATCCAGCTTCACGATGCCCTGACGTGGAAACAGAGGCAAGTGAAGATGAGCTCAGAGCCTCTGTGCTAGGAGCCTTCCCGATATTCCCAGCTCCTCCCCCAGTAAGTTCCAGCTGTATCTATGTTGACATGCCCAGCACCTCACCTGAGGAATCAGATTCTTATGTACCCGCCTCAGCTTGGCTCGCTTCTGCCCATTCTTGGTGACGATTGTCTCCTCATAGAACTCGTGAGCCAGATCCCCGTCTTCATCATAGAACATGGAGCTGTGTAGAGAAGGGAACAGGCTGGGTTGGAGCCTCACACCTGGTCATGGCAAATGCCCCAGACCACAGGGAAGTGTGCTGAACCCCAGATGAAGAGACACAATCTTAACCTTGGTGGAAGAATAGTAGGCATGAAGAACTCTCTGCTTGGAGTCATTAGAAGGACGCAGAAAGTGCATCAATGCCACTGATAATGTCACACCAACAAGAGGTCACAGCAGAGCACACTGTCACATCAGCGGTCTGATCCACAAGGGGAAACTAGCCAGCGGCAGGCCCTTCACCTAGAGCTTATAAAGTGGGTGGGAACTGGCCTAGGCACACTAATCTCACTTCTAAAGACACTGCTAGTTCAGGGTAAAGACCAAGACCGCAGATGTCTGAGCCAGGAAGGCTGCGTTCCCACTCATTCCCAAGTGGTTGGTACAGCCTCATCAGAACTGCTGGTTGGGTCTTTCTGGTGTTTACTGGCAAATTCCCATCCCAGGGAGTGTTGGTCCTTAGGAGCCCTCGAGGTCCAGACCGTTTTGTGTGAGTCCCTGGGGAAAGATGGTTAGTGCTTCAGGTCTAGAGAACCCAACTGGGCAAGGGCCTCTTTTTGGGTGGCCTCACCTTCAGCACTGAGGCCTAGCAGATCTACAGACACTACTCTCAGAGGTTCACCTTCACTGTGGGGAGGGCAAGACACCTAAGCAGAAGATCATTTTCCGTTCTAAGGCTTGGAAGAATAGGAGGTACATAAATGCCTTTAATTTGCAGGTTGAGTTGGATGAAACGAAGATCTTAAGACTCTCGGACACCGTCTTTGCGGGAATATGGGGGAGCTTTTACCCAAGGGACAAGACTCAGCCAACTCTTCTCTAAAAAAAATCCTGGGCAAACAGGAGCTGAATGCCACTTGGTTTTCCCCACCCCTTGCTTTGATGGGGATCCAAAACATGACAGTCCTCCTGATTCAAACGTGGGGGGGGGGGTGGCGTTCCTCGTTCCCGGACTTCCTCCCCAAGGCAGATACCCATGCCCCTTACCCACGGCGCGTGAATACGAAGGGGGGCACCGCTCGGGCTCGAGACCGCACCAAAGATTGCTCAGCGCCTGCCGCCTCAGGGCCGCCGCCCCCCGTAGCGGAGGCAAAGGGCCAGAGGCCCCGGGCTTTGGAGCCGCTGGCGCCCATGTCAGCGCCGTCGGCGCATGGCGGACCCAGCGGCCGCTCCGCTCTCACAGTACGGCGAGCGCGACCATGCCCTGCCCCAGCCTCCACTCGCAGGTGCCGCCGCCGCCTTCCGCAGGCTCTGCTGTCTCCACGGAAACCTCACTTCCGCTTCCGCACACCCCGCACGCTGCCTCCTCTGAGTGGCTCAAGATCTCGTCAGTCTGTAAACTAGAACCAATGACGACCCTCAGAGACCGAACAACCCAGGATGCGCTGCCTTCCAGGTCCCAGAAGGCAATGGGTCCCTAAGGTCAGCTCCCTCCCTGAAAAGCGTTGGTAATGTGTTGTTAGGGACTTTAAGATCGGGTCGGGTATGACTGTTCCAAAGTCCCTGCCGCTCGACACTGGAGCCCAGTGGCAATACTCAATTAGGTCACTTCTCCAACCCCCGAAGAGACCTTAGGCCTGCCTCAGGCTAGGAAGGATATTTAGGTTGTTTTCATAACTTTTTTTTTTTTTTTGGTTTTTCGAGACAGGGTTTCTCTGTGGTTTTGGAGCCTGTCCTGGAACTAGCTCTTGTAGACCAGGCTGGTCTTGAACTCACAGAGATCCACCTGCCTCTGCCTCCCGAGTGCTGGGATTAAAGGCGTGCGCCACCACCGCCCGGCTTCATAACTTTTTTTAGTCGTCACCTTTGCACGAAAAGAAATTAAGGAGCTTGCTCAATGTCTTGTATTTTCTTTTATTGAGACAGTGTCTCACTATGTAGCCTCAGCTGGCCTGGAACTTCTGTGTAACAGGCTCTCCTCAAAGTCATGTCCACCTGCTTCTGCCAAAGGGCTGGGATTAAAGGAGGGAGCAATTATGCAGGGGGCCAAACATCTTCAAAACCTTTGTGAACAAATTTCTTATGACTATATTTGAGTAAATATAGTCATTCACCAGATAAATTCACAAGATAACAGCCTTTAGGAGACCAAGACTTGTTCCCAACTGTACCCTGTGAAATGTGTCCATACCCACAAGTAGTTATTTGATGAAGGGGTTATTGCCCTCTGAGGTGGTGTGTGAGAAAATGGTTTCCCTGTGCTCTAACTGTAGCTTATTCTTGTCTCCACCATGACCTGGGCCTCAGAGTGTTGTTGAAAGACACCCAAATCCAGAGGCTTACATCTCCTCAACATACTGGTCCCACTGCAAGCTTGGAAAGATGCGCTCTATGTGCCAATCACTGTTGGCAGTCATTCCCATTAGGTGCTTCCTAACTGGGGGTCCACATCCATAGAGTCCAAAACCAGAAAAATTCTTCAATCTTTATTCAGCCAATTCTCTCAGGCATCAGGCCCTGATGATGACTGTCACACCCCCATCCCTTTCCCCACAGGAGGCATTCAGTTGAGGCCACAAAGCATTGCATACATTCATACACTTCCATCAAAAGTATCTGAGGGAGACTCTGGCTTTGGCAAACAAGAAGCGGGTCTGGTCCAGCAGCATCGTCCTTAGAGGATGAACTGAGGCATAGGAGCTATACCTGCCAGCCCTCCCTGACCTCAGGGTTATGTGTCAAAGTCATAAGGCACTGGAAGAGGGAAACACAGACTCCATCTGAATGTCTGTATTATTCTGAGCAGTTAACCTTGGCTCTGATTGGGCTATCCTGAGACTTATTCACGACCCAAAACAATCTTTCTCCATAGACTCGGGCCCCCCCCCCTACAAATATAACCTTGTTGTGTTTGTAGAGTCTCTAAGATTCTCACGGCTGAGACCCTGATCAAAGACTGGAGCAGCTACCCAGAGTAGGACCCAGTATACAATGGGCAGAGGGCTGCAAGCCACGCCCCACTGTATCCACTGGTAGAGGGCGGGCTGCGGCACTGTTCTCTGGGCTCACTCCCTTTAACAGAGGAGGGCTTCCATGCACACTCATTCCGCAGGCCCCACGGGCCCTGTCACACTCACACGGCACGATCTTCGCATTGCCTATTTTCCTCCTGCTACCCAGGGAAACGAAAGGTCACCCCAAAGGGCAAGCATGCAAGGCTTCCTGGATCTTCTGGCGGCAACGAGAATACTTCTGCAGAATCTGTCGAAGGTGTTCCTCTTCTTCCCGCTGCAGGATACGTAGGAAATTGTGCAGCTCAGGCATGCTGAAGGCATCCCACTGCAAAGGGGCAGAGGAGAAAGATACTGGGCTATGGCAGGAAATGGCTAAGTTAGCAAACCCTTCTCAAAAACTACTGCCTCATGGTCACACATCTCAGGACTGGGCTTCTGGATAGTACCACCTCCCTTTTCATTCCCCAACCTTACCTGTTTTGGTTTTGTTGTTATTGTTTTTAATTATTTTATATGTATGAGTGTTTTGTCTGTGTATGTATGTATGTGCAGCATGTGTATGCCTGATGCCACATGGAAGTCAGAAGAAGGCATCAGATCTCTGGGGACTGGAGTTACAGATGGTTGTGAGCTGTCGTCACCTGGGTGCTGGGAATCAAACCCAGGTCCTCTATAGGAGCAACATGTGCTTATCTTAACCATTAAGACAAATCTTCAGCCCCCTATTTTGTTGTTTTTTTGAGTCACAGTCTTGCTGCCTATCAAAGGCTGGCCGTGACATGCTATGTAGCTCAGGTTAGTCTCAAAGTTGTGATCCTCCTGTCTCTGTTTCCTGAATGCCATGATTATAAGTCTGGATCACAATGCTAGGATAAGTAGTCTGTGCTAGAATCCTTATGAGCAGTCTGCACGGAAGACAGATCCTACACAACAGTCACCTCATAGAGAGACAGCAAATCAGGACGTTCCTAAATAGCTGCTATTGCGTGGGCCCCCTCCAATACAAACCCAGGGTCTCATAAATGTAAACAAACTACATTTTCTTTACTCCAAAGCTACATTCCCAGGCAACCTGCTCACCCCCTGCTTCTTTTCTCTTTTTCTGCTGCTGGGTTTTATGCATACTAAGCATATAATCTTAACCACTGGGCCACACACTAACCCCTAGGTAAAAAGTCTTTTCTTTTGCATTACTAGGAATTAAATTGTGCTGGCTAGTTTTAGGTCAATTTGACACAAACTTTAACCTGAAAGGAGGAAACCTTGAGAAAAAGCATTCATAACATCCAACTGTAAGGCATTTTCTTAATTAGTGATTAATTGACAGGGCAGGGTTCAGCCCATTGTGGCTGGTGCCATCCCTGGGCTGGTGATCATGGATGGGTTCTATAAGAAAGCAGGCTGAGGAAATCATGAAGAGCAAGCCAGTAAGCAGCACTCCCTCAATGGCCTCTGCATCAACTCCTGCCTTTAGGTTCCTGCCCTGACTTCCTTCAATGATAGGATTATGATGTAGAAGTGTAAGCCAAATAAATCCTTTCCTTCCCAACTTGCTTTTGGTCACAGTGTTTGATCACAGCAACAGAAATCCTAACTAAGACATGAACCAAGGGCATCCAACATGTTAAGCATCTTACCGTTGAACTATAGCCCCAAGTCTTTTTACTTTTTGAGATAGTATCTGACTAAGTTAACCCAGACAGGTCTTTAAGTTACTCTGTAGCCCAGGATGGCTTTGAACTCGTGGGCCTTCTACTTCAGCATTCCAAGTAGTTGAGATTACAAGCTGGTAGTAGTAGGCCTTGCTAGAAGAGTGTTTTGTTTTATGTGTATAAGTGTTTTGCCTGTAGGCACATATGTGCACTGTGTGCAGGGTCTATGTGGATGCTAAGAACCTAACGTAGATCCTCTGCATGATCAATAAGTGCTTTTAATTACTGATCCATCTTTCCAGCCCCATTGTTTTAACTGTGTATGTCTGGGTCTGTGTAGAGGTTATGTGCACATAAGGACAGGTACCCTCTGAAGCCAGAGGAGGAAGTCAAATCCTTTGGAGCTGGAGTTGCAGGTGAAAGTGGGCCACCTAACATGGGTGCTTCAAACAGAACGGGAGTCCTCTGAAAAAGCAGCAAGTACTCTTAACTGCTGAGCCATCTCTCAGCCACACCTGTGTAGCTCTGAACTTGTTCTTGGCTCACCATGAGTCAATCAAATCCCACACCAGGAAACAAAGAACCAGAACAGTTCTTCTAGCTTGTTTTTGTGGCCCAGACTGACCCCAAACTCCTAGCAGTCCTCCTGTCTCAGCCTTCCAAGTACCTCTATTACAAACATGAACCACTAGATTCAGCTTCTTCCTAAGGATCTAGACCTTGGTTCCAGTGTCCTGGAAGCTTATACTTTCATTCCAGGGCCTGTATATTCTTGGAGACATTGTACAGGGTTTGTTCTGTAGCTCCAGTTTCTCTTGAAACCTTCACTATAGCTACAACCTACTAGCTTTGTCAGGTGATAAGAAAATAAGATGATGTACTCACATTCACCTCTCCAGAATCATTCTCTTTCAGGACAAAGCTCAGGGCCTTCTCACTAGGCCCTGCAAGAAGCCGTAGCTTCAAGGGCTGCTCATCATCTGATAGTTTCCGGAAGTACACTGGAGATCAGGCAGAGCAAAAAGGATAAAGAATTAGAAACAGGCTCAGATGCCCCAGCCTCTGAATGTACAGGCATGTGATACAGACCCCTTAAACAGGAAGAGCCGGGATAGGAAACCTACCTTGGCCATGACGTTCGGTTCGTTCAAAGAGTGCAAACTTGCGAGGATCATCCACTACCATGAATTTTCGCAGCAAGGCCTCAATGACCTCACGTGCCCGTGTTCGTGACAGAACATGCAAGTGCTTAATAGCATCCTTAGGCAAGTAAAAGGAGGTGCGGCGCTTCACAGCTGTGCTCCGCCCTGTGCCCCGCCGGGCGTCCTGTAAAGAAGGTGGTTTCTTGCTGGAAGGCACTGAGACAGGACGTACCAGTTTCAGCTGAACCTTGATGAAGCCAGTGTAGGAGCCGTCCTTGTTCTAAAAAAGAGAAAAAGAAAATCCACACCATGACAGAAGTTCTAGTAGAGAAGAGGGCAGGGTTGAGTTTACCTGGGGTGGGGCCAGGTGTGCGGCCAGGTGTGCACAGATCACTGCTTGAGTCAACCAAGAATACTTTGGCTATGACTCTGGCCATCTGGCACAAAACTGGGTTCTGTTCCGCCCCACACTCCTCACCTGAGCAGCCAACTCACCAGGCTCATGAAGAGGTTGCTGTTGA